TGCTTTCGCGGAGACCCACCAGAAGGTTTCGCACTACAACTCCCTCGACCCCGATGTCGTGGTACATCTGCCGCTCTTCGCTTCCAGGGGGATGTTCAAGAGAAAGTGCCTGAATAGCGAGGGGCGGGCGTTCTTGTGCAGCATTGGGATCGACAAGATGAAGGCCGTCTTCGGCGAAGTCGATGCCACCGTCGAGCCTGCTCAAGTAAGCTTTATTTCTGACCGCCTGGTTTCGACGTGCAAGCAGAATAACGCGAAGACTCTGCTCGCAGAACTGATCCCTAAGGCTCTCCCTTCTGAAGTCGTCGACTACAACTCGAGCCTGTACCCGACGTGCTTGCAGCAGCTCTTGCACGTTCACGCCATCGTGCACGACCTCGAGGCCGACCCCGACGAGGTGTTCGTTGCGGCGGATGCGTGCGTGAACGAGAAGATGCCGATCTGCCACGCGCTGAAGATGTACCCCACCGGCCGGCAGATGATCACAGACGCCAAGGAGAGGGCCAAGCGCCGCAAGAAGGCGACCGAGTGCGACGAGAAGGCTTCGGCGCAGCTGAAGGCGTTGGAGAGCGCGTTGGCGGCCGAGGACTTGGACATCGACGCTGAGGCCACGCTGTTCAAGGACTGTCTGGCCCCTTCGTCGTCCTCCTCCTTCTCTCCTCCTCCTCATTCTCCTCCTCCTCCTCCTCCAACTCCCCCTCCTCCTGCTCCTCCTCCTCCTCCTCCTCCTCCTGCTCCTCCTCCTCCCCCTGCTCCCCCTGCTCCTTCTGCTGCTGCTGCTGCTGGTGGTCCTCCTCCTCTTATTCCTCAGCCTCGTCGTCCTCCTCGTCATCCTCCTCCTCCCCCTCGAGTCGCTGAGACCCGGGGGAGGCGGACGGGGGGGGATGTGGAAGAGGCGCATGAGCGCATGAGGAAGGAGGTGGAAGGGGGAAGCGGGCGGCCCGATGACGCGGGCATTACGGTGAGCCCGCAGGATTTGTCTCAGACGTATGGCCAGTACGACTCCGTGCCCGAGGAGAGCGTCGAGAGCGCGAAGAAGTGCATCGAGTTGGCTGCATCCAGATGCACTGCCCGTTGGCTGGAACTGGTTGATGGCGTCGTAGACGGATCCGAGAGCTACTCCGATGTCTTCGAGTCCGCCGACGGGGCTGCGTTGATGAAGTACATCAAGGACATCAAGGACGCCGACAACGGGGAGTTCAAGCATGTGATCTCGAAGTGCCAGGCCGAGTGCCCAACTTTACAGGTGATGATCGGTTTCTGCGCGTTGATCAAGAAAGCTGGTGACTTCGAAGACTCAGATGCAAAGCTTGAGCATCGCGAAGCTGCTGCCTTGAGGGGGATGCTGTGCGCCACGACAAAGAACTTGGATGTGTTCAAGGAGAAGCAAGATGATCTTCGGACGTACATGACTGAGACTTTCGATCGTGAGCACGCGCTGGTGAAAGCCATCGCCGATACGGTCGACAAACAAGCCCGTGACCACGCCACGGTAATACTGGGTTACATCAAGAAGTACACTGACACGTACCCGGACTTGAAGTTCTACGACGTGGAGGCCGACAAGGAAGGGAAGGATATCAGCAAGTTCGTCGAGACGGCCCCGGAGATGAACGACGAGGTGTCCACCGCTGCTTCAGCGCTGGTCAGGATTGCTGCTGGGACCCACGACCTGGCGCTCAAGAAGGAAACGCAATACTGCCACTACCTGGCCAAGTGCCTCCATCCCGTCGCTAAGCTTGCCACTGCCATGGCTGCCCCGCTGACCATGAGCCAGGCGTTCTGCGACGTCGTTGGCAAGGCGGTGGACGCGCTCGCCGACTTCAAGATCTTCGTGGGTACTCTCACGGAGGCCGATGAGGGTACGCTTTTCAAGACGACGGGCGACCAGGGTCACATGTGCCACGTGTTCGACGGTGAGTTCCAGGTACCGAAGTCGCACATGGCCTTCGGCGAGATGGCGGACAACATGACGAAGCAGATTTCCGACGGGTGGTGCACGAAATGGACGAATGCCAAGGCCGAGTTGATCAAGCACCTCCCTGACGGGTACGCTGCTGCCAAGGATGTTGTGCTCGAGCACCGAGCGCTCATGACGGCCATGCTGAAGAACCCCGCCTACGAGGAGCTGGCGAATGCGTCCGGTGCCGCCTTGAGCGAGGTCAAGGCCATCAAGGCCTTGCAGAAACAGCGGGTGAAGTTCATCGCCCCGGAGCTCTTCGAGGAGCTGTCGAGCCAAGGCCTGCTCGGGGCCAGCTGCGTGACCACCACCTACGTGATCTTCAAGATGGGCTCGGAGTTGGCGAAGTTCACGAACGTGCGGACCAGGAAGATCGCGGCCCAGAGGCTCAAGGCCGAGCTGGTGACGAAGACGCAGCTCGGCAACCTCGGCAAGGACACGGCGGCGCTCTTGGAGCAGCTGTGCACCGCCGAGTCCGACGTCGAGGATGTCAGCGCGGCGTTGAAGCTGCTGGAGGCGCTCGCGGCGGAGGCCGAGTGAGGCCCCGGTGGCCGGCGGGCCCACTTGAGGTGGGCAAGCGGAGGAGGGAGGAGAGGAAGGAGGGAACGGACGAAGGGGGATGAGGGAAGAGCTAGGAGAAGGGAAAAAACGACGGAGGCATGTGCGGCATGTGCTCACTACGTTCTGTAGTGGCCGCTGGGAGCCTGCGCTTTCAGACGTCAGACGTCCGATGGGGTGAAGGAATTTCCTCCTCCTCCTCCTCCTCCTCCTCCTCCTCCTCCTCCTCCTCCCTCCCTCTTCCTCCTCCTCCTCCTCCTCCTCCTTCTCCTCCTCCTCCTCCTCCTCCTTAGCTTCTTTTTCCTCCTCATCCTCCTCCTCATCCTCCCCCTCCTCCTCCTCTCCTCCCCCTCCTTCTCCTCCTCCTACTCCTCCTCCTCATCCTTTTCTTCCTTTTCCTCCTCCTCCTCCTCCTCCTCCCTCTTCCTCCTTCTCTTCCTCATCCTGACTCATTCTGCTCATTCTCTTATTTCTCCTCCGCCACCTCCTCCTCCTCCTGCATCCTCCTCAGTCCTTGTCTTTCTCGTCCTTGCTGCTCCCTCGCTCCCTCCCTCCACTTCCCCATGCAGGCACCATCCCATCCTGTCACTGAAGTTGCAACTTCCAGATATCTTGTGCGTCTCAGTTAGAATGCGTGGTATGCATATATCTATCATATAGTATATACTATATAATATGTATTATATTGTCATAACATAATACAATACATCATAATATAACACAATCTAATATAATGTATATATTATATTATAACATAATATAATACACTATAATATAATATAATATAATATAATATAATATAATATAATATCATATAATATATTGAATATAATATAATATAATACAATATAATATAACATAACATAATATAATATAATAAAATATAGTGTAATGTATTTTACTTTAATAAAAATATAACATAGTATACAAATTATATAGCCACATTCACATACATATACACATATATATATATATATACATAACTTCATATGGATATGCATTTATTTTTATTTATTGATTTGTTTATTTATTTCTGTATATATATACATATATATTCATATATATTTGAATATTTATATTTAATTTATGGACGATATCCATTTGTAGCGCATCCGAAGCGGTCAACCTATAGATATCCTTGAAAGCCTGCCCGTGCCTGCCCGGGGGGCCCGCGGCGGGTAGAAGACCGCTGGCGGCATGCGGTCGACAGGGAAAAAGTCAGGAGGAAAAAAAACACACAGACACAATTAATCTTCGATTCCCCCCGAAAGTATGGGAACATATGGGAAGTGAGGGGGGGAAGACAGAAACCCCGGAAATATTGGAAAATATTGGGAATATATTAATTTGTGTGTAGATGTTTGTGTGTCCTTGGGCCCCTTCAAAAAGGAGGAGGAGAAAGACGAGGAGGATCACTGACCAAACTGCCAGGTCAGCGAGCGGGCCGCCATGGAACAGTGCCACGAGGGCGCTAGGCGCAATGAGGAACTGGAGGGAGAGGAGAAAGGAGGGGGCGGGATGAGGATGAGGATGAGGATAAGGAGGAGGAGTAGGAAGAATCAGAAAAAGAAGAAGAGGAGGAGGCGGAGGACGAGGATCATGAGGACGGCGAGGAGGAGGAGGAGGAGGAGGAGGAGGAGGAGGAGGAGGAGGAGGAGGGGGAGGAGGAGGAGGAGGAGGGGGAGGAGGGAAGGAGAAATGCGAGGAGAAAGAGGGAGGAGGAGGAGGAGGAGGAGGAGGAGAGGAGGAGGAGGAGGAGGAGGAGGGGAGGAGGAGGAGGAGGGGGGAAGGAGGAGGAGGAGGGGGAGGAGGGAAGGAGAAATGCGAGGAGAAAGAGGGAGGGAGGAGGAGGAGGAGGAGGAGGAGGAGGAGGAGGGGAATATGGAGGGGAGGAGGCTTGCTAGGGCAGAGTGGACGAAGGAAACAGCCCGACCCAGGCCGCCCCTGCCAAGCCCGCAGACCGGGGGAAAGAGGGAGGGAGGGAGGGACGAAGAGGAGGGCCTCTGTCATCCATCTCTCTCCTGAACGCCGTAATGAACTCCTCAGGGGAAGGACGAGGAGACAAGCGACCGAATGAATCATCTAGCGGCCCAGCCTTAGAACAGTTCGAGTTGCTTCCTTTGGGAAGGAGGAGGAGGAGGGGGAGGAGGAGGGAAGGAGAGGCGAGGAGAGGGAAAAGGAGGAGGGGAAGGGATGAAAGAAGAGGCAGAAAGAAAGAGGACAGAGGGGGAGGGGGAGACAGGAGAGTCAAGGGGGAAACGAGAAAGGTGGCGGAAAAAAAAGAAACAACCCAGAGGATACGAAGGACGAGGAGGAGGAGTTAGAGGAGGAAAAGGAGGAGAAGAAGAAGAAGAGGGACGACGTCGACGACGGCGACGATGGCATCGAAGGCGGCGGCGGCGGCAACGGCGGCGGCGACGACGGTGGCGGCGGCGGTAGCGACGACGACGACGACAAAGAACGGTGGCCGCGACGATGACAACGGCGGCGGTGGTGGCGGTGGCGACGGTGACGGCGAACGATGACGGAGGCGCCAACGACGACGAACATCGACGAGAAACGACGAACAGCGACGCCGACGACGAACCACCGACGAGCGACGACGCCCGACGGCGCCCGGCGGCGACAGACGGCGACGATGACACCGACGTGCGGCGACGGCGACGACGCACGATCGCCCACGCCGGACGACACACCCGGCGACGTACGACGGCTCCCGGGCGGGTGGCAATGGGGGGTGACCTGAGGAGGAGGAGGAGGAGGAGGAGGAGGAGGAGGAGGAGGAGGAGGAGGAGGAGGAGGAGGGGCAGGGGGGCTAAGACAAGGGTCCCTCAATGGGGCACTCCCTGTTCTCGAGGGCCCCTCCGGGAGCCAGCGGGGGCCCAAGGGGGGCCCCTAAAGGTGCCCCCGCGGGGCGCGTTTCTTCACCACCCGCTGAGGTCACTTCCCATGCCCCGAGATCCACTGAAGCGAAAACATTAAAAACATAAAACACATCGTGACACACATCCATATAGAACCACTTATATAGGACCCTGGACACACCTATATAGAACACACCTGGGCCACCCGAGCCACTGAAGCGAACACACCTATACAGAACCCTGGACACCGTCTTCCTGCATCATTTCTCGAGGCGGATCGATGGAGGGTCCCGTGGGCCTGAGAAAAGAGAGGATGTTCGGCTTGATCGGGGGCGGCAAAGAGGGGGGTGATGCGTGGGCCATGGCATTTCCCCAGATCTCATGGCGCCTCTTCCCATTCCATTGCGTCCCTGGCCCCCCCGCTGGGCCGCGCACGTGCCGCCAGTCATGATTTGCACCGCCCCCCCTTGGACACCCCCCTCTTGGCCACTCCCCAGAATTAACTACCAGAAGCCTTCCCGCCGCGATGCTCTCGCGCCGCGAAAGGGGGCTCCGGCACCCCTTCAGCTTGCCCATCGGGCCCCTCCCCACTTCTCATCCCCCCTCCTCCTGGTCCTCCTCCCCCTCCTCGTCGTCGTTGCTGGCCCGCCGACGCGCTGGCATTCGAGATCTGCTGCAGCGAGCTGGCCCAGCAGGCCCGCCCACCGCTGCCGCCGAGAGAGACTGACGGACTGCTTGCCCTCTTCTCGTTCTTCTCTTGTCCGCCTGCCCTCGTCTCGTCGCTATGCCCTTGCGCTCCCCCTCCTCGTCGTCGTTCTCCTCCTCCCCGGGCCGCTCCCGATTTGACGGAGCCGAGATGTTTGGCGCCTCGGGTTCGCCTTGTGCACGGGGCGCCCGTCGCCCGACGGCGGTCGGCCACCGCCGCGGCGGCCGGCGGCGGCCCGTGGCCGCCGCGTCGGCCACCCATTCCGGTCACCTCCCTTGAACGAAGGATTGCAAAAGAACGAAGGATTGCAAAACAACCCGAAGGATTGCAAAACAAATCCGAAGGATTGCAAAAAAATAAAAACACGAAGGTTGTTTTGCAATCCTTTTTGCAATCCTTCCCTGAGATCCATCGAAGCGAAAGCATTGAAAAAAAAACGTCGCGACAACGCACCCAGAACCCCGGGCACCATCTTCCTGCAGCGTTCCTCGAGGCGGATCGATGGAGGGTCCCGTGGGCCCGAGAAGAAGTGAGGATGTTCGGTTTGAAATCAGAGCGTGAACTACCTACCCCGCTTTCGCTTCCAGGCAAAACCAAGCCATGCCACGCGCCACCTTGTCAAGCGGCCTGACCGGTACAGGCTGCAATTTGGCATCGTTTGGTATCTCTTGGAAGCGAGTGTGGTCAAAAGCGAGGTAGGTAGGTTTCCCCCTCTCAAAGAGCTGAGATGTTTGGCGTTTTTGGGGTTCTCCGTGGCACGAGGCGCCCGTCGCGACGGCAGTCGGCCACCGCTGGCGGGCGGCCGGCGGCGGCCCGTGGCCGCCCGCCAGGCAGGAGGAGGGAAATATTGGAAAATATTGGGAATGGGGGGGAAAATATTAGAAAATATTGGAAATATTGAAAATATTGGAAATATTGGAAAATATTGGGGAACATAGGGGAAAATATGGGGAGACCGTGTTATTCCCTACCTAGGCTCTGCCTAGACGGGTTCTTACTCTGTAGCTTAAAGGGGCCGGGCAGTGGAAATCGCCCCGGGCGGTTCCCCCAGTCCCTTGGGAGCCAAGCAAAAGCAGCAGCAAAGGTAAAAGCAAACGCGCAGTTCCCCCGGTTGCGCTCCCTGGGTGCCAAGCAAAAGCAAAAGCAAAGGCAAAAGTGAAGGCAAAAGCGAAGGCAAAGCAAACGCATAACATATCATAGCATAGCGTAGCATAGCGCAGCATAGCATCGCCGAGCCTAGCCCAGTATCGCATTGCGCAGCATATCATAGCATATCATAGCGTAGCATAGCATAACATAGCATAACATAGCATAGCGCAGCACAGCAGCCACTATTGTTGATGATGATATACACATATATAGATGCTGCGCGGCAACTGCTACTACTACTATTACTACTACTACTACCACCA